TTGAACAGTGTTCCGTTTTCATTTGTAAACGCCTGTCTGTGGACATTAGTCGCGGCTCTGGCGCCAATAGATAGTTTGGCTTTCACTAATTGGCCATAGTATGCCCCTTTGGATCTTTTGCACACTACGGATAATTGAAGCGGCCTCATTATTGGGTTAAAAAATTCTAGCACGTTGTACCTTTATTAACTTCAATCTTCTATTTCTACAACTCCAGAACGTTTTCCGTTACGACTAAGAAGTTGTCGAAGTAGAATTCAGCTTTCTTGTCTATCCACTGATACGATAAAGCATACTAAATGGTTCCGGCCAGTATTTCGTGAAGCTTGGTGTTTACGGGACTGCGTACTGCAGCTCCGTATTATATTTCCTTATGGCACTTCCAATTTTTTGTTTTCAAAAAGTAACCTGCTGGCTGAATTTGCGTATTCCCCAAAATGTGTTTGACTCTATTGCTGGGACGATTTGTTTGTGAAGGCTAGCGTATTTTTGGAACCAGTACCTTTTCAAAGATGTTCATTAGTTGCGATTTCCTTTGAGACCGTAATGTGATTGATTTGCTTTTGTCTCTAATGTCTTTCCCAGTGTTTTCTTCGACTTGCTTGTTGATTTATGTGACGCCTTGATGAGCACTCGTCCGCTTTCGACGAATTCTTTTCAGGCCTGCACATTTATGTGGCTGTCGAAATAATGGGTCAAAAGATATGGTCAGGTGGACAATTGGGCATTAACTCGGGTAGAGTTATTTTCATTGCCCGTATCTTTTGTTTCATCACTTCAATAGCCTGAAGGGAATTCATTGAGAGCAGACATATGCTCCCCAAACAGTGTTTTGAATTTTTTGGATGGAAATTTCCCAACTCGATGTCCCGATAGGAAACTGTTTTCGAAAACGCGTCACTTCGGGGAGTTCTAAGTAGATATATCAGCGGTTTGTGATTCATTGTCAGTTTGATAAAGTTAATACGTATGTAAGCGTCTCCTTTTATGGCTGGAACATCCAAACTCACGATGACAGAGTCGTTCGTGTTTGATTTTATTTATTATAGTACGTAAATGAATTAAGTAGACGTTATTTACGTTATAATTACATTGATCAGTGTGAGGGAGTGCCGTCTTAGAGACGTCCTTTCTTCTAATTCAAAACTGATCTATCGAACTGTGAATGCGACGACGTGATGGTATTGACTTATGAAACCTTAATCAAGTGTACTCGACCCACGCATAGAAATCTGTGCACGCACCAGAACCCTACTGTTAATTAGGTCTTTATCTCCCAGCGTGTGGAGTTTCAACTTAAGCAGCATTAAAAAGTAGAGCCATTACAGCTCGTCTCTGACTAGGACCCAGTACCTCATCTGTTTGCAGTCTTATAAGCCATGGCTCCTAGCGAATCGTGGTATTTCAAACCGTTGCCTTAGCTGCACTCAGTTAGAAGTTCGCGTCCAGTTGATTGGAGTTAAAACCGAACCGCGGGGTTGACATGGCCTGGAGTTACCGTATACGCAAGTCACACAAGCATACTGAAGTCGGAGGGTGCTTGCATGTTCTCATTGTTTGTCCCTTCATTGCGCTCAGTGGGTTCAGTTTAAAGGTTTTTTAATGGCCGTTTGTTTTGGAGCTGACGTATATGCTTATACCATCGAGAAGGCGGATTCCAGAAGGCAGTCGCGAAGGAGACACCATCGCTGTAGCTAGAAATTTTTTAACCTGACGTTTCGGATTCTCGCTCGAATTCATCATCATACTGTATTATAGATCTTTAGCCGCAGATAGTTTTTATTTTGGTTCACTTGGATAAGATCATCGTTCTGACGCACGCTGTCGTTTTAAAAAAACCTGTCGTTCAACCTGTCTTAACCTCTAACTGATACTCAACTCTGCCGTTTTTGAATCCAACAACAAGTATAATATTAGTCTGCACTACGTTGCATTTTAGTTTTCCCCTTTTACTAGTTCTGGTTTCCCATTCCAAAGCAGCTCTTAATGAGTGTATACTGACTCCTTTGGAGCTCTGCTTGTTGCGTTGTTCAGAGAAACTTGTCCATCAGCATTCTGATGCGTTATATTGTAATCATTGGTTTTCAAAAAATACAACGTACGGATTTTTTAGTGTACGATTTTATTGCCAGAATCGCTCGCCATCCACTCCGTGGTAAGTTTTAGGTCTGTTTGCCTTGCTACTTATTGTGATTAAGTAGTCGAGAATAAGTATTCGTTGGTTGCGCGGTGCGGCAGCTCCGCCCTGGTGACAAGTGCTCGAACTGCTGTCCTCTTCCCTAGAAATTCTCCATCGAGGTCCCCAATCATGGTGAAGAGGTGAGACGACAAATGTTTCGCTCAGAGCGAATTGCCTATCCCGTCCAAATGTTGTCCGCAGTTTTTGTGGGTGTGACTCCGGACGTCCAGTTTTCTATCGTTCTTGCGTGGGTTTCTGGCATGTGACAATTCGGACTCTACTTTCGTCTTGCCCCCCCCCCCCTACTCTAGATAAAGTTTGTTTTGCTCTTCAGGGTGGGTGACAGTCCGCCCTTCTGTTCCTCCGTAAAGGCATTGCTTCCCGCGTCAGTACTTAGCTGTTTTTGTGAAAACCGGCTATCTGCGCATTGCTATTGGACGACGTTTCCGTCCACCCTTGATCGTTTTACTTCCTTCAGGTCTTCATCATCGTGGGCGCTGCCCGAAGGGCAACTCAATGTGCAACTTCTTGCACGTTTTTACCAATCCAGAAGAGACTACCCGTGATCTACTGCTCGCTCTCAGCCACAACCTTCCGCAACTCCCGCCGGTGCAGGAGAGGTTAGTTTTCCATTTCCACCCCTGCACATACCCCCCCCCTCTCCTTCCCTATAGAACGTCTTCACTCTTCTTCTCTTTCCCCCCCCCCGCCCAGTCGTGTGCGTCGCCGTGGACGCAGTAACAGTTCGGACAGCGATCTGCCTCCGTCAGAAGATCCTCCTGATCCCAGTCCGTCGAGGAGCCGGCGGTCACATAATCACCGCCACCGACACCATCGGCATCATCGGCGTCGTCGTCGTCGTCGTTCGAGTAGCCGCAGCTCGCGGTCCTCCCATGGGAGCAGCCCCATCGCCAGGCGACGGAGCAAGAAGCACAGACGCACTCGCAGCTGACATATAAACTTTTTTAAAAAAACAACTCTCTGACCCACTGCTTGTAAATATTGTACGTTTTTCGGATTCTGTTCACTCTTTTCCTTTTGTAGAAAGTACACTTTCTGAAACATCTTCACTATCTTCGATTCTTGACTGTTTGTAGCCTCGCCTAACAACAACATATTCGCGCTTCTGTTCTGCATTCGGCTCGCTTTTATTTTCTTGCTCTTCGCCTAGAATGCTTTCGTAATTCGTTCCATTTTTGCCGAGTAGAAACATGAACCAGGAAGCGGGCTTTGAGGGGTGCAGTTGGTCACCTATGACCGCGTCCCCGACGTCCTCATCGGCTTCTCTGGCAGCCTTTTTCAGACCCCTTTAGTTGGAACCCATCGGCAATCAAGAAGCGGTCACGAGTCGGAGAACTAGTTCGTCAAGGTGTCATGAGCGGTTAGGATCACCTATACGTCCCCCGTTAGGCAGGTGGCCTTGAACTAAGTTCTAGGGAAACTACCTATTCCCCTATCCTAATCCCAACCCCGTAGCATAACTCTAACCCTGAAATTTAGCACAAAGCTACTCGTATTACGGGGGCTCCTATTTCCGCGTCTCGTTCTACCGTGCCAACTTCTCTCTGGTGATGTCTGTCAACCAGTTGAGCGTATTGGCGTCGCACATGAACTTCTGTGGACCGATCGGGTTACTTGAACTGCTTCTCCGGTTGTGCTTTGCGGTTTGATCTAGAGCCGCACAGGCAGTCGCATACGAGTGGTAATACTCGCCGAACCAGGTTGCCGACAAAGAGGACTTTTATTCGGGTAAGGGGGAAGGGGGCACGTTCGGTTTGTTTGTGCTGGCCGACGCTTGTCAACGTAGGATCGCGCGCTGGACCTCAGCTTATGACGTTCAGCGCGTAGCCTGCCAGTTCGAGGTATGCTAGTCAGCTTGAC